TGTCTAATGAACCATGTGGTCGACCTGAGTCGTGTGGAAGTCCTGAAAGCCACTGTGAAAACAAATCCCAGCCAAAGTGCACGTGAATCGCCGTACAACGCGATAATGTACGGTATCAAGCAAACCCTTCGTGATGACATGCAGTCTATTTTTAACGCAGTTGCTAGATTGGTCGGAGGTTACCCAAAGTTCGATTCAATTTCAACTTACATCAAAGATAAGCTACATTGGGTTCGTAGGTCAGAGAATTTTGTTCAAGTTATCTCTCCTCGTCAGAGATTTGATGGCTGGCGATGCTCCTGGTTGTTCGTGAGAACAACTTTAACTAGTGTTTGAAGTTATAAACCAATGTAGCCAAAGATCCTCCGATAATGGAGATTTTGTGCTTCCCGGATTCAATTATTAACACTTTGGTAAAAGAAGAGACACAGTATCGTCAGCACAAATTTGGAATGATCTACCCGTAAAATTAAAAAGAATTGGCAGTTTAACCCGACGAGATTTTAAGAAGTGTTTGAAAAATCATTTGTGCAACTATCCACAGCAAATCTACCGCTTCATAGGTTTTTTTCAGGAGAGGCGCTATACCAGTCATGAAATACAATACAACAAATGTATTAAAGCAAACAATCTTGATTCGTTTGACACAAAATGGTCATTAAAAAATTTAAAAAGTAAGTGGAAACCGCATGGATTGACTGATAGACATAAGGAAACAAAAACAGGACGCATGACTTTCTATTCATTCCCGCCAAACAACCATCTCTCAATTAAATTGTTACGTGTGATAAAAATGGATCATGTACGACATTTGTCGCACAAAGATAAACCAACAAAACACTGTCCAAAACGAGATATCCACCCGAAGAAGCTGATCGTCACTGTGATCGGCTTAGGTATCATGCACCACAGCTTTATGAAACCTGGCTAATCAATCACTGTTATCAGCTAGTCGAAATTAAGAAAAATCATGAATTGAATAACTAAGATTTGTTAGTCGGACGACCAAATACTTTTGCACAACGCACGCCCATATGCCGCATGAATGACCGTGTCAAAACTTTTGTCACCATATGTACTTGCCATATCACCATATGTACTTGCCATGTCACCATATGTACTTGCCACAATCATTTCATTCGAAATTTAAGCAACTTTTTATCGGCAAAATATTTTATTCTACACAGGCCGTCAAAATGGCGTTTCAAGAGTTCCTCAAACCTTACGATCCAGAATGAAAATGGAATAAATGAGCTACCGTCAAAAGGCAAAATACCGATGCATATTTTAATTAAAAACAAAGTTTTTATCAGAATTCAATTAGGTGCATTTTTGCTCCTATTCATACTTGACAAATTGATATTTATCATGTACAAAAATGAAGACAGAAAAATGACCTTAACTGATGCAGTAATTATATTTACAACAATCACTAATATTATACGCTGATTGAGCTTGAAAATATCGGCGCGCATACATACATATATATTAGGGTATATATTATATATATAGTGTCAGAATTATCAAATAATACTGACTAAAAATACTTCAAAGTTTTCAACGCAAAATTTATTCACTCGATAGGGGGCATGGTGCAAGTTAATTTACTCGATAGGTGACGACGATTTTTTTTGTTTTGCAATTTAGATGACGTCATAAATTATTACAAATTATTTTAAATTTTAATTAGTAGTTTTTTTTTGATTAATTGGACATACCTTGGAAATTTTTATGTTTAAAAACACCCGAAACAAAATCTAATTTTGCTTTGATAAGGAAGGGTGTGGAAGGAAGTGAAGAGTGGGTTGACTAGTTAGGCAGCTTCGAATAATCGGTGCCTATTCTGGTCCCTAAGAGACTTAATTCGTAATTCTATGCTCATTGGCATATTTTCAGAAACGTCTTAAGTTCTCAAAAAGAGTCAGGCTTGGGTTCACCAGTTAGGCAGCTTCGAATAATCGGTGCCTATTCTGGTATCTAAGAGACTTAATTCGTGATTCTATGCTCATTGGCATAGTTTCAGAAACGTTTTGAGTTCTCAAAAGTGGATTTGGTACGAGACTCTATGCTCATTGGCGTAGTTTCGCACGCGTACTAAAGTCACACAATTTGTTTCCAGTGTTGTTCTGACTCTTGTTGTTTTGTGTTGGTTGTGCGAAAGCCGATCAGACTCGACGGCCCAGTGAAAACAGGCCAGGGTTGTGCAAAAGCCGACCGACCGACCGACTGACAGACAGGCCCAGTGAAAACAGGCCCTTGGTCGTGCGAAAGCCGATCAGACTCGACGGCC